CGTGGGCTACAGCCCACTTCTTCGGATGCATATAGAGTGAAACATATTGAGGAGATATATATACACACATACAGAGAGCATGAAGACAACTCCCACCTGTTCATGCTCTCTGTATGTGTGTATATATATCTCCTCAATATATTTCACTCTATATGCATCCGAAGAAGTGGGCTGTAGCCCACGAAAGCTTATGCTCTAATAAATTTGTTAGTCTCTAAGGTGCCACAAGTACTCCTGTTCTTCATATGGTTACTGTGTAATTGATCTCTGAATTGGCTAAATACAGGGCACACATCACTACATTTTTTACATATTAAAGGAGAACTATCAACTTAATTATTTTTAATTACCATAACTTAAATAATCCAGTTTCCACAATCTACCATTCTTTAAACAGTGTGTCCTAAAATTATTTTTTAAATTTTCCTTTAAAATACTGTATAATGGGCTTTTATAAAAGTTTTCTCATCAAGAGAGAAACGGATTGAACAACTATCTAGGGGAAATGGTGACGATGAGTTCACACAAAGTGCTGTCACATGCACAAAGTAAAAATTCTGAAAAATAGAAAGATATATTTTTGCTAGCTTATTTAATTTATAGCAATGTTAGATGTACTTATAACTATGGAAGGTACAAAACATTCAGGCCAAAATGTGACTTATTTTGACAGTCTCACTTTAATATAAGTAGTCAATAAGTGGGAACTCTTTGCCAATCAGAATGCAGAGCCAGAATACAGCATTCCCAAATGGACGTATAGCATATATAAGCAAGCTTTAAAAGATAAACTATTTTATATACACACACGGCAAATATGTTCATTAATGGCAGCTGTTTGAAGATGCTTAGAGGTTTTTAATGCTAGAATACAGTAAATGCCAATGGAGATACTACAGGCTCCGATTCATCGAGATACATACAGATGTGCCTAACTTTAACATGAGTAGCCCCACTGAACTCAATGAAACTACTCACATGCTTAAAGTTAGGCACACCCTTAAAAACTAACTGAATAGGGGCCATAGTGATCAGAGAGCACGTAAGGTGATCACAGATGCACAACAAAGACAATTTATGACATGGATGTCATGTTTGAAAATTTTTAGCCAAATGATTGCTATGATGTTGTGAAACATTTACTTGTGTGCTCCTGGTTGCATTCTGGGTCCATGAATCCCAAGTTTGTATATGCCTCATTGTCTTTTGCAATGTTAGTTAATGACCTCCCAAGACAATGCACCAAAGCTAATTCAGACCAGTTTAATACAGTAGCAAAGCATACTCAGGTTGTCTTCATGTACTGTATCATCCAGAAGATGACAGCAAATCCAAGGAACCCATAAGGCCTGGGAAAAAAAACTATAACAGGTACATATTGGAACAGAAGGCCTGATTTTCAAAGATGCGGAGCATAGCCACAGGTGCACAGCTCCTCAGTAAAAGGCCTTATGTGTACAACAGTGTGTAGCTTAATTGTCCAGACAGGTTCCCATTAGAAAATTAGGGACTTAGCTTTTATAAAATGCTAACAGCCTATTCCACAGACTCCAATTGCAAAACTCCTGTTGATTTCATTAGGAGCAGGAAAGGGTTCTATGTTTTATTTTCACTACAGTAATGGATGAGGTAAATATGATATGTGATACAGTGTAAAATGATTTTAATTTAAATAGAACTTTTTTGGTTCCAGAAATTAATGTTACAACAAGGCTGCCTTTTGGCATACTGAAAAATAAGTTTATAACATGATTCAGCTTTCTGAATAAGTTTCAAAAGACCATTTAAAGACATCTCCAGTCTCACATTATTTTCTCTAACAAATGCCAAGAACTGATTAATTCCATGGCTGAGGAAACGGAACTAAAAGTTTGTAAAATCCTTTTTTTAAAAGTTCATCCTTCAAAGAAACAGCAGGAGTCATTTATTTCTCAAGATGACTGGGATCTATTTTATATATTGGCACATGTACTACATCTCAATTTAGGTTAAATACTGTCCATTAGATTTACTTTTTCTTTTTAAACATCCTTTGGATGAGGCAATCATTAAACAACTGATCGCTGGCATGATTCACATTTCAACAAATGACTTCAGCTTTGAAAATAAACAGTAATAGTAAGTCCTAAGTGATGCCATCTGGAGCATGACAACAAATGTTAAACACGATGGAACTGGAAATACTTAAAGTGACTTAATTTAATAGTAGCATTAAAAACTGCTACG